ACCGTTACGGTCGTCTATATAGTAGTCTAGTAGTCGTAGTAGGTCCGTACGTACACGACTATTATATATATATATATATATATATATTATATATATATATATATATATATGCACACACACACACACATGCACATATATGGGTGCGGTTTGTCTAGCTTAGGCTCTAAACAATCAAATTAGATCCTGGATTCAAATAGTGTGAAGAAATGTTGTTTCCATATTGGAAATCTTTGTGATAGTCTTAAAATATATTTTCATCTTTATTTATAAAGTTCAATGCGTCAAAAATAGTTTAGATCGACAAATCTATGAAAACTTAAAAATCTTGAAAATTGATGATACAAAAACGCATTACAAAATACACTATTTCCAAAACTTGAAATCCATTTTTTTTTCTCATGTCCATATGTCTTGATGTCGAGATGATCAATTTGAGGATATTTGGGCATCAAAACAACCTCTTCTAGTAAAATTTTTGTGGTAGGCTCCGATTTGATTGATTAGAGCCTTGTCTCTATATTAACTTTTCCCTATATATATATTTATGTATATGTATAGCGGTTGTACAGAGCCGAGGCTCTAAACTGTTTAAGTAAAGCGCTCCCTTCAAGTAGTGTCGAGAAATGTGGTTTCAATATTTGAAATCTCTGTGAATCAATCTGGTGTATAATAAAAAATATAAAATTGAAATACTAGATGTGATCTTAAAAAATGGGAAAAGAATGTAAAATGTAAAATATTGGGTATATTTTTTAAATTTTAAAGAATGTGGGGGATATTTATGTGAATTTTTCTATGGATTATTGAAAGATACTGATATGGATTGTAGAACTGATAGTATCACATAAACTTCTTTCAGGAATTTAAGCCTGACTTGAGTTATGTTCTTCAGATGATGGGTGAGAATCAACTTTGAACTTGCGAAACTTTTCCTTTTCCTTCTTGATGTTGCTATATTTATATTCCACTGATTATTTTCTTGTATTATTACTCATTTTAACATCATGCTAAACTGGTTGCAATGACACAAGGAGTTACATGCCACCAATGCTTAAAATCCTAGGCTGGCATGATTTGGGTTAGCTAGTTTAGTCCAATCCAAAAATTAACAAAACAAAACCAGAAAAATATGGAAAAATAAAAAAAATTTAGTAGAATTTTTTAAAATTAGGAAAGACCTGAAAAATACAAGAAAACTTTAGAAAAAAATGTAAAATATAAATTGTTCATTGCCTTATTATTTTTCATGTTTGAACATTGATTCAAAAAGCGGTTTGCCCCGTGCTGCGGCGCCACCTTGGGAGGCTAGGGGGGGGTTAGGCAGACCAACCACCCTAGGGGGTGCCTAGGATCCATAATCCTAGGTGGGCTTTCCTTAGTGCCCCTTGCCCTTGGCAGCCACTTAGGTGCCTGCCTAAGCCCTGGGCAGCCTAGCTCCTCCATCTGCCTAGACGCCGGCCGATGTTTTTTGGAACACTGTGTTTGGCATACACTCGATGAAGTTCTAATTTGACATTCAATGATTTTATTGCATTTAGATGGCTCTCATCTTCCATGTTCCAACTTCACGGACGTGTTTGATAACAGGAAGTGTCTTCTTGGAAGTTTAGAACTTCTTAATACTGATCAAGTTTCGTGTTTGATAAAAATATTGAACTTCAAACAAAACTTCAAGGAACTGTTCAAGTTCCAATCTTGCTTTAAAAAAAAGTTCCAACCCAAGGGTTGGAACTTAAACTGGGAACTTTTTTTTTATGAACCCTCCCCCCCCTCCCCCCTATATAAAATGTATATATTTTATTGCATAATATACAATATAATTTATTGTATAATATGTAATATATTTTATTTATATAATAGATATTTATAATATTATATAATAAAAATATATACAATGTATAATATATTATATTATTTTATATAAATATATATATATATTATATAATAAAATAAATGAAAAGTACAATATTATGTTATGCATATATTATATAATATTATTTTCTGAATATTATATAATAAAAATAAAAATTAATAAAATAATTCACTATATAATATATCTTATATAATACAAATATATCTCAATAAAATAAATATAAAATACACTATATTATATTTTACATTACGTTATATATGATACATATACATCTTATATAATACAAATATATATCAATAAAATAAATATAAAATACACTATATCAT